ACGTACAATGTAAATGGAGTGGGCACAAAGAGGGTTGGACGGGTGGACTTGAGGGTGAGGTTGGATTTGGTTGCGTTTGGGTTCATAACTTTATGAAAAGGGGTATGCGACAGTTGGCCTATGAATATGGCCGGCTGTAGGGAGACTGGCTGTGACAGAAGAGGCATTTACCTGAAAATGGCACAAAATTTCCTGACTACTTGCCCACTCATTCCAATGGCAACCAGCTATTACTCGTAAAAGGAAGGAATTGATGATTATGATGGTTACAAAGAGTAATGGAATAAATGTTTAATAGTAGCCTACACCCATGCTCATGCCAACTTATTTCCAGACATTCCAACACCTACCGACATATCAGGCGCACAGGAACACATTTGGCCGCATGCACATACCAGACGAGCGCACAGACGGCCGGGCCGGCTAGTCCTCCTCCCCACCACGAAGGAGGCTGGCAACAAGGGAGGTACCAGACAAATAAATCCCAGACAATAATCAATCGATATTTGTGCAGTAGCTCAGTTGGGACAAGAGATTTTTCCTTAAATGGTAAATGGGAAAAAGCATCCGTAAACATCCGTAGACCTGCGCTATGATTATCTCTTGAGCCAGATGAAAACGCCGGACAGAGGCGACATACAAGATATCGATTTGTATGCAGGCATTCAGGCCGATGGGGTATATCGTGTAGAGGGAGCCCTCAAAATGAGGCAATCATACTCAGAATCCGCGCAGTAGTGGCCATGGTAGCGGGAGAAGTGGTACCAGCCACGATATGCCCCTTCGGCGGAGTTTACGGGTGGCCTCGGTGCGACGATCACAGCAGGCGAGTGGACGGCTTCGGTGTCCGTCTTCACCGGGTTACACGCGGATAGGAACGCCGAAAACCCGGTTAAAACGAGCTTTCTGTGCGCTTGTGCGTGTATGTGCTGCTCGTGTGTGCTCGCGATTTCCAGCATCACACCATGACAGAAGAAGTCCAGTAAAACATGAAGAGCTATGCCAAACTATTGTGCACAAATAGGCATGCATAAGTGCCGTGCTTGTGTGTTTTTCGCGAGCCACGCAATGCCAAAAGATGTCTGGTAAGAATAGAAAAGCTATACCAACCCATTGTGCAAGAATGCGTGAGTACCGTGTGTGTGTGTGTGTGTGTACGTTGTTTTTGAATGGCTGTCAACAACCAAAGTGGGATGAACTATGGGATTACTAGAGAGACGGACGATGGTATGAAGTAAGCTGGCT